AACACACACACACACACACACACACACACACACACACACACACACACACACACACACACACATTCATTATGTATGCGATGCGAGTTGGCTGAGTTGTCCTCGGAACTTAAAAAAATTAATTATAGTTGATTATATTTCTTTTATTCTGCGAAAGTATGACAAGCCGTCATAGCACAGCTGACCTTTGACCTCGCAGTGTTTGCGTCGAAACAGGGTCCAAAGTAAGTTGTTACATTGTCTTGTCTGCTATTTCTGCTTTATAAGTGCTTTATCAAAGTCCATTTCCATGATAGGGAGTCTGTTGGACTATTCTGATACATGCTGAACGAGTATTATAAATTTGACGAAATGCAGTGTCGAGACGGTACAAAGTTGCTAATCAGTTTGTTAGACGTCTTGACAAAAAAAGCTAAGATGGAACTGTAAACTGTTATAGAATTTGACCGCCAGCCTGTTCCGTGGCCTACTTGCTTACTTTTTGTAATCAGTAGGCTACTGCAGTAGTAGATTCTAGATCTAGATATCTAGAATTAGATCTAGGCTCTAGATCTAAATCTAAATCTCTAGATCTACTTAATAAGTGATTGATGGCTGGATTTAGTATTTTAGTGTGCATCATCTTCTGACTAGCACTCATACGTGCATATTATAAGTGTACACTTCACTAACTTTTAATATGATACTGAAACGGAGAATAACATAGATCTAGATCTAGATCTAGACTTCTAGTAGATCTATAAGAAAGGCATTAATTTGCAACTACTAGGTCTAGACTTGAGCGGACTCTAAAACCAGAAGACTTGAAAGGGTCCCTTGAAAGTGAAATTAGTGTGTCTACTAATCCCCTTCTCTCTCTCTCTCTTTCTTCTGGCGCTGTGGCATCATAAACAGTCAGTGATGCCGACAGCAAGCAGGAACTCAACACTTGCCTGGGGGTCCTTAAAAAGTGCTGAAAGTGGGCCACTGAAATGTACCCAGCAGACGGGTTCTGGCACGATAGTTGGCGGGACATCTCAGGAACACATGGTCCATATTATAGTTGCGTCTTCCTCCTTGCAGGCTCGACAGGACGGATCTGGGTTGTATGCTTGCGCAATTTTGTGGAGATATGATTTTAGCTTGGGCAATTTTCCACCAGTTCTCTTTTGGGAGAGAAGGCGGCGGTCTTTTCGTCTGAGCGAGGCCTCAAGCTGGTATGATGGCAGCTGAGCAAACTGCAGTTTATTGGGCTTTGCCTCTTTCTTCCGCTTTGCGCGGGTCGACCGGTTGATGATGGCTTTTGCTGTCAAGAAATCGATTGGCGTGTCTATCTGGGTAAGGGCTGTTGCTTCTTTGGCGATGCTGTCAACTTCCTCGTTCCCAGCCAGTCCAGCGTGGCCTGGAATTCTCTGTAAGTGGATGGAACATTCGGAGTGTTGACAGAGGGTGTGCAGATGCTGCCAGATTGAGTACACCACCTTTTCCAATTGGTTAGTAGGGCCGTATGAGAGGCGCATGACTGCTGACCTGGAATCAGTGTAATACATGGATGCGTACACTGTTCGAAAGGCTGTCTGCTGCTGTACGTAGTGAAATGAGCTTGCCCAGTGCTGTGTCGAGAGCTACTAGCTTGGCCCTGTAGCTGGAACAATACCGGCCCGCGGGTACACGTTGGTCGAGTTCACTTTCACCGGTCTTGATCAGTATTCCACTGCCTCCATACTCGGTACCGTGTTTAGATGAACTGTCAGTCCAGAATTCTACATCGGGCAGGGGGAGCGATCGAAAGGTAGCCTTTGCTGTTGCTTTCCTGACAGCTGGTTCATTAGCACGCTTGCAGTCGACGACAAGATCGGTGCTAAAAGTCGCGTTGCATGATTCAGCCTTCCACGGTTGTGTGGGGGGTAAAACAACCAGCTCCTCACATGGGTACGTATCCAGTTCGGCTACAAGGTTCTGTGCATGCTTTCTCCAGTTTGACTTGCCTGTCCGTGTGGGCACTGATTTTGTTGCAGAGGTTCTGTGTCAGTTCGTTGCAGGCAGACGCATGGACTTCTCGAGTGAAATAGCAGTCAAGGCATCAGCTCTATGCCTTTCCTTAGTGATAGAATGTCTGCTTCGATGAGGAGGCTGTCCGCACGAGTATCCTTTGGGCAGCCTGTGATGATTCTTGCTGCTTCCTTCTGCTTTCTTTCCAGTTTCTGCAGGTTGGAGGGTTTGACAAAAGGCATGTAGGCAGAGGCACAATAGTCGATAGCTGACTGACAAGTAGTATAATATATTGGCTGTATGCATTCCCTTGAGGCACCCCAGGTGGTGCCTGTAAGGGCTTTCAATGGTCGAAGTCTGCTTGACAGTTTTAGCTCAAGGTTTTGGATGTGTGCATTGGAGGATAGAGTAGGATCAAGTGTGACCCCAAGTAAGGTGGGGTTGGAGTTGAAAGTGTTGGGGGGAGCCTTTGAGCGAGAGTGCTGGTTTTTGCTTGGCCACGTGAGTGCTGGTGGTGAAGAGGGTGCACTCTGTTTTCTCCATACTGATCTCCATCTTGTTTTGCTTAGCCCACTGCTCAAGTGAGTTTATGGCAGCTTGGACACTGTTTTCAGCCTGATTTATGTCTTTGTAGGTGGCGTATATAGTATAGTCATCTGCATAGAGTCCCGTCTTCACGGTTTCAGGCTTTAATATCATCAATGAAGACAAGGAACAGGGTGGGGGACAGGACGCTGCCCTGCTCGAAACGGCGAACCTGCTTGTTGCGTTGCCGTGCTCGATGCAGGCGTATCTGTCCCTGAGGAACGAACCTATCCATTGGGTGATGTGGCTGGGAGTAGATTTCTCAATCATCTTCTCTATTAACCTCGTGCCCCATACCTTGTCGAAGACTCACGAGAAGTCCACGAGCCCTAGCACAGTTCATTGCTTTTTGGGACGAGCCTCGAACCCGTCTGAGATGTGTTGCGTTAGGCACAGGACTTGGTCTTCAGTAGACCTTAACTTGTGAAAGCCCGATTGATTGTTGCTCAGCAAGTTGTTGCTCTCCTGAAAGTACATCAGGTGGGACTTGACGGGGGTCTCCATCAGCTTAGCAAGGCAGCTGGTGAGACTGATGGGGCGGTAGGACCCAATCTTGTCTGCAGGCTTATTCTTCTTGGGTATTGGTATGATTTTTGGCATGTCACCAGCTGTTTGGGACAATGACCATTTCCCATGAAAGGTTGAAAAGATGGAGCAGGGCAGAGGTTGCGATGGGTCTGAGGTGCTTGATCATCTCATTGGTTACACCATCAAGCCCGGGAGATCTGCCGTTTTTCAGCTTTCCTATACAAACTGTCAGTTCAGCCATGGTGAGGAGAGAATCATAGCCTGTGTTCTGGTCAATAGGAAGAAGTTTAAGCTTTTCATTAAGCTGGTAGTGCCGACATTTGTCTGCCTTGTTGAGTTTTAGGTGGCTGACTGAGGCGTATTCACGGCAAAAGGCTTCAGCCTTGCTTCTATCCCATTTTGGGGTTTTATTGTTTTCTGTGAGTGCACTGCCAGTGGAGGGGTTTTTCTTGCCTGAGATGGCATTTATGACCTAGAAGACTTGTTGAGGGTCAGTCGAGAGGGACATCTCTGAAGTAAAGTTGCGCTTCATCTCGTTTAGGCGGGATGTGGTTCTTTTAGACGCCTCCTGGTAGTTTTCAACATCTTCTCGTGTTTTGGTTGCCATGGCTTTTTTCCTTAATTGCACTTTTTCTTCTATCAGTTTGTCCACTTCTTCATTCCAGAAGGGTTTAGTAAGTTTACGAGCGCCCTTAGGGATACTTTGTTTGGCTTCTTTTAAAATGGCCTCCGTTAGGCACGCGTTTAATTTTGTGGCCCAAAATAGGGCACTTTTACGGTAGTTCCAGCCCACCCTATTTTGGCCTTTTTTATTCGAAATTCACAAAATTGAGCTCGGTTTACTATTCGAGTAGATCTAGACTCTATATCTAGGTAAAAATACAAGATAGAGGTTTGTCAAAATAACATAATTAAACACTACACCTAGGCCTAGTGTTGTTTAATTGCAATGTTAAGTGCGTCTGGGAAATTGACTGGCGGACACTGTCGCCATTTTTGTTTTGGTCGGAAGTGGAAGTACAATGTGGCCAACCATTCTTTGATAACATTATTGCCAAGTTGGAAAGTGAACTATGTTCCATACTGTTGTGCAAAAAAGTGTTTAGTTCAAGTAATTTTCGTTCATTATAGAATCTAGTACTAAAAGAGTAATAATGGAGATTCATATGTTGAAATCTCTGCAAATATTCGATCTAGGCCGATATCAGGCCTAATTAAATTTTAACTCGATTATATTAGGCCTATCCGAAACAGGAAAAGGCGAATAATAATTAGGGGTTAGAAACTACCGAAAAAGTGCCAAAAATTGACACTCGGTTCAAGTTTGTAGATTCTCTATTAGTTCCTTACTCTTATAATTATTTAAAGTATAACATGCCTTACTTTTATTATTTTATAATTATAAATTGTAAAAAGATCACCATGTAGCTTGATGTATCTATTTCCATAGGGCTCGAATTTTTGAATAAGTAACTCATTTTATCTGCACGCTTAACTCTACAGGCCTACGTACTATACTGGCATACTCATTTCCTGGCTAATAAGACTTCAAGAATGACCAGGGCCAAAGCATCACACTATTTTAAATTTCATTTTTTTGAGCCTATTGTTATTAATGTTGCTTTTTTATCTTTCTTTTTAAAATGAAAAAATTGATCTCACTGAATTGGGTGTGAAATATCCTTACTTTACCTTCACTTAGGTTGCTTTTATCTACCCCTTTTAAGATTTTAATTACTTTTTGAAAAACATTCAGTTGCTATAATGCAATTTATGCACGTGCACATTGAATAGCTACTTACTGGTCGTTGCTGTCCTTGGATTGAGGATGTTGAGGTGCGGTGTGATGGCTGGCAATATTTAAGCGAAAAATGTGGAGAAGAAATTCCACACGTTTCACCTTATTTGCTAGGCTTTGTAAACAGTAATAGGCCTGATGCTTTTTATTGATTACCTGTTCTCGCTGTACCAAATTGTGGTTTGTTGTAAAAATCTAAGCTTTAAAACTTAACAGAAACTTAAACACACAGGTTGGTAATCAATCATTTCTCATAAGTAATTTATTCTACGATTGAACCTGTTCAAATGGCCACCTGTCTAAGACAATCACCTGTACGACCAATCACATCCCATTTCTTCCTTGTTTAAAAAATATATAATATCACAGTTCAATATGTCTCCCTGTCTAAGACAACCACTTTTATCCTCAACAGTAGCTGGTCATATTGCTTAATTTTCTCTGTCTTAGAAAAGGTTACTTCTGCTTGCCTTACTAACTTGTGGTTCGTTAATCTGAACTTTAAAACTTAACAAAAACTTTTGGAGCATAGGTAATCAATAATTTCACATACACTAATTTATACTATATTTAATTGGGTTTTGCTTTAGGTTCCCCTGACGAAATCACTCACAGAATGTTGAAAGCATTCAGAGCTATGAGTCGCTACAAGGTTGACCACAGGGCTATGCCTGCCCTGGCCACAGTGAGATGTTCTTCCAGTGACTCGTCGTCTCCGAAACCCAAAGCTGTGATATTTGACATGGGAGGAGTTGTAGTGCCCTCTCCGTTCCAGTTATTCAAAGGTAGAGCAGTCATTCTTTACACTTAAGACTGATTTCATTTTTATTGCGCATCCATGTTCTATAACATGCTCAATGCACTTTTACAACTCTATTATTACCCCAGCAGACCTACTCAGAAACATTCATGGTCCCCCGGGAAACGTACAGCTGATTAAGCGCTCGAATACTAACCAGCTGACTTCCTTTATGTGTTTATTGAATCTGTACTTTAAGTTTTGCATAGTTTGGCCTTGCAGTTATTAAATATATTAATGACTGTCTTACTTGCAGTTGACACCAGATATATATAATATCTACGCTTTCTCTCGCCGGATCATGCCAAATGCAAATATGTTGTTCAATTGTGACTGAGTGATGATGACAATGTGGCTTTCTATGGTGCCTCAAATGAATTGATAATGGTTCTGATGTTCATTTCTACAAAAGTGTTACGGTAGTAGTCAGACATGATTTGCTTTCTTTATATTTCTTGAATTGTTTCTTGTTCCGGTTATCCTCAAGTTGTCCTTTGTTTTGCTGTTTTAGCACTACATTTGACCCTTATGATGTACTTAATAAACTTTTATATCTGGAGGTGTCATCTTTAGCTCAGAGGTTGACTTGTAATGACCCGCCATCATCTATGATCCCTAGCTGCTCTTGTGTATTTTGACATAATATTAAGGCCAGTCCATGTCACGATGTTATCACTGTCACTGCACTTTAGTAGTTGTCCATCGTTAGCCCAGGTGCCCTGTATCTTGCCTTTGAGTTTTTTCTTCATAACATGGTCTAGTGGCATTTCATATGACAAAGGTATTGTATTTTTCTACTTTTCATTTTGTTCTATCAGGGTTTGTCGTGCGATTTACAGTGGCTCAACTGTTTACTCCCACACTTGCAGGAAACCACAGACTGCAGTTTTCTTCTTCATGATGTTGTTATGTAGGAGCAAAGTTTGCAATATCAGACATGTTGAGGGGGAATGTGCCCATGAGATTGTGTGTTATGTGGCAAGGATTCTGACGAAAACAACTCTCAGATTTTTCTCATTTTCACTTTTTTAAAATAAAAATTATGTGTCTTCTTATGAATGTTATAGACCTATAACATATATTGGGAATTGTTTCACAGATTTTGAAAAAAGTACAGGCCTCAGTAGCGGAACTGTGTCTAAATTCATTGTTGCTGGTGGCATGGATGGGGCTTGGTCACAGCTGGAAAGTGGAAAACTGACACTGTCAGAGTTTTCTGATATCTTCAGCCGAGAGCTATCCAAAGAGGTAAGCACTCGTGTTATTGCCTATACTCTGAACCTGTCCATAATGGTCACTCTAAATCACAGAGAAAAGTAACCATCATAGACAAGTGGCCGCCATGGACAGGAACTGTGTTGTAGTCATTTACTGACAAAGCCAACTGTTTAAAATCTGAAATTTGAGTATCTTTCTATTTCATTTCCGTCAAAATTGTTATCAATCATAAGAGCTTCGTTGCACTGAATGAAATTTTTCACACTCTGAGAACAGGGTGGCAGAAAACTTTTGTAGCAGGTGACCCTTATAAGCAGGTTTTGAGGGTGACTTGTCATGAAAATGACTGACCGTGGTTGCATTGATCTGGTCAAAATTATAGGGAACAGTAGCTTGTAGTACAATTGACTGCTGTATAGAGGTGACCACTAAGACAGGTTTGGTTGTACTTTGAGCCATGCAAAACACCAGTCTTCAAGACGAACAAGATGAAACAAAGAAAAATGTTACAGTTCATGTTAAGTAGGGGTCACTAAGTACGGCCTGCTGACCAAATCCGATCTGTAAGGTAAATTCATCGGGTCCACTGCTATGCCACTATTCTGGGGAAGAAAAAACTTGGAAGATGTGTGTGCAGTATGCTCAGGACTGGACTTAGGCTCCAAAATAACTCAATCATCTCGTTGTACTCTACTGTGCTCCTTAAATATTCTCCTTTTTAGACTTCATAACTTCTAGCTTACTCTTTCTTGGTTTTAATGTGACAAATCTTTCATTTAACACATTTCTTCGGCAAATGGGATCATCATCCTTTCGTCCCTGGTCATCCACTCACATTATAATTACTGAGATTTAGAATTCTTGTCTATTTCATATAGTGATGGTACTTAACATTTTTATTGTTGTCACCTCCAAGAATTCAAACTATGAACCCTTTACCTCTGACAGAAATCAAGTTGCGTCAATATTTTATTATATCCACAGCGATAAATTTCCAGCATCATACATACAGAGTCTGTTTTGAAACAAAACTTTTTTGCAGACACTTAAAGGTTGCATTTGACTTATGTTTTGAGATAAAGGGTTTGAGGTCATATCGACAGCTAGGTACAAGACTCTGACAAATGCAAAATAACATTTGGTGGAGTTTTGCTTCTAGCCATCAATGTACTTTTTCTCATCTGATTTTCAACTTTGTAATACCGAAGGTTGGAAAAGAAATCGACACCAGTCTTCTCATTGCGTGGATGAGCAAATCTGAGGAGGGCCACGCCTTCCCTGTTATGGTGAATGCTGTCAGGGGTGTCAAAGCACATGGCATGAAGACGGCTTTACTGACCAACAACTGGTTTGTCGACGAGCTGAAAACAAAGACACTGCTACCTGTGGATCAGTCACTCTTCGATGTGGTAAGAGAAAAACAGCTGAACCAGCTCTAACGGCCACCTGGTCAAGACAATCACTTGTACAAATGACCATTTGCCACCCCCCTGGTGGTTTTTTAGGTGACAGGTGATATTATGACACTGTTTAAGACCTCCACCTGACCAAGACAATCACTATTCTCCTTGACACAGAGTGGCCATCTTGGACAAATTCAGCTGTAGGTTTTTCTTAATGACTTGGAAGAGAAGGGGGGGAAAAGTTATTTTTTCAAATGTTTTAATGTGTTTTTCTTATCCTGATTTAATGCTCACAAGGAAATGGAGAAACTTGGAATGAACCCAGCTGAAGCCCATTATTAAACCGGAAATATATGAAAGTTAATGTGAGTCAGTGGTTGAATTTGGAAACACTTCTTTACATAAAGCTTGCCATATTTTTCTTAATGAAGTAACATGAAAGTTTTTCAAAGTTTGTTTCACAGGCAAATTTAATGAAATCATGTAAAACAAATTGACATTGATGAAGCTATCACAAAAACACATTTTATTGAAGTTATATAATCAATGGTATGGGTTGCATGTGTTCGAGAAACATTTGATAGAAATTCAGATTTTTAATGATGAAAAAAGCCAGAAAAGTTGTTTTGGGTACAATTTTTTAAAAGAATGAAACAGTTTTTCTCTTGCTCCGAAAATTTTTTGCTTTGTGTGTTTAGAACATGAACAGCCTACAGGCAATTTGCTATCATCAGTAAGCAAACTCTCTTTCTCTGTGTCTCTTTCTCTCCTGCCCTCCCTGTCTTCTCTTTTTCCTTAAAAGCCATGCAGTCCATGCATACAAATGGACTCAAATACATGCACATAACACTTGCACATATGTATGTATTTACCCTCATGAATATACATGCTCATCTACACACGGACGCTTTATGCATTCATTTTTTTTTTCTCTCAGGTTGTACAGTCCTGTGTTCTTGGCTATCGCAAACCTCATACGAACATGTACAGCCGATGTGTACAGGAACTACATGTCAATGCCAATGAGGCAGTCTTTTTAGACGATTTGGGACACAACCTCAAGCCAGCTCAGGCTATGGGGATGCACACAATCAAGGTCAGCTTTTGTTGAAGTTTAACGGTGCAGCCCGACTCAGAATAAGTCACCCCCTGGCGCAGTGCCACTGACTGTAGTGTCTTTAGGCCATTCCCAAAGGGGGGACCTTTATCGTTCAAGCACTGTTGAATTGTAAATGGGCTGATTCATGTCACGCTCATAACTGTGCCTGTTCTACAACAGGGAACTGCTGCTTTTTCTTTCTTAATCCTTACTATTGTCATTTTCTTCTACTTCTTTTGTATATTTGTCACTCTCTTGTGACCTGCTATTTCCAGGGTGCCTTGATAGTCGAAGTAGACCTTGTGCTGTTGAAGCTAGAGAGGTGAGCAGAATAAGTCTGATTCCCTGTTGACACCCACCCCTTGGCATCATATGACCTTATGCAGTTGCGAGCACCGTAAAACCCTCTACTATAAAAAAAAAAAATCAGAATAAGTACAAGCATCTGTGATATGGTTATATAAGGCTCTTACCCATTGCCTTTAAGAGCAGTGAGTTTGATTCCCATATTGAGAAATATTTTATTAATGAATGTCTGTGTTTCTCCTGGGATTTCTCTTGCACATGGTGAATGTCACAATGAGTGTAGCGTTTAAACTTGTTTTGACATGTAATACCTTTTGACATGGAAATGTGGGTGGTTGACGGGTGCTCTGGTGTGGTTTTCTTCTTCTTTCCTATCAAACATCTATCGTCCTTATCTCCCCTTCTTCGTTTTCATATTTGCTACTCTCTTGTAACCCCTCTAATCTTTTGGCGCTCATATGACCTTATGCAGTTGCGAGCGCCGTAAAACCTCTACTAAAAACTAAACTGACTTGGAAATTCAGAAGAAATCATGGCAAGAGAACGAAATGGAAGGGGATTTAATGAAGTAATGAGAGAGAGAGAGGGGGAGAGGGAGAGAGAGAGAGAGAGAGAGAGAGACATGGGGTAAAGGAGTAAAGGCGGAAGCAAGAGAAGGGTATAGAGACTGTCAGTAAGAAATAGATGATTGAATGATTGAGAGAGTGTGTGTGTGTGTGTTTGTGTGTGTGTGTGTGTGTGTGTGTGTGAGAGAGAGGGAGAGAGAGAGAGAGAGAGAGAGAGAGAGAGAGAGAGAGAGAGAAATGTAAATGAAAGATTTCACTTGATGCCCAATGGTTGGTTGTGCATAACGTACACAGGCTCATGGAATGAAACAGTGAGCAGGGATGCCATTTTTTCCGGTGGGTGGGGGGTGTTAGGTTATTTTCATTATTTTCTTAGAAATTGGGTAAGAAATACAGTTATTATTCTCAGCAATTGCTGTTTGTTTAATCCCATATTAGTTGTGTCTATTAACTGCCTTTTTATCTGCAAATACAAATTCATAAATTTTCTGTTATTTTCACGTAATCCCAGTGTTGACAGGTGCTCTGGTATGATTTGCTCCTTTTTTCATATCAGACATCTATCATCCTTATCTCTCCTTCTTTTTTGTACTCTCTTGTAATACCTCTAATTTTTGGCACTTATATGATCTAAGTGTTGTTGCAAGTGCTTTAAAAAACTTTTTAACACAACAAAAAAGCAAAAAAAATCCCTGAGTAAGTGTTCAGGAAACTTCATGTAAATGTGTGCCTACTAGGATGTGTCCTTCAGCATGACTGGTTAGCCCTGCCTCATAGGTGGCCGCTGGTCACTTGACTAAGATGACAAATAATTATATGAATGTACTATCGAACCAGCCCTAACAGCCACCCGTCCAAGACAATCACCTGTACAAATTATAATAATAATGATAACATTTAACATTTATATAGCGCATTTCCAATAAAGTAGCTCAATGCGCTTTACTTTGGAATACCCATTTTCAAAACCTTTCTTACAACTTCCTTTCTTCTCATACAATATTTATGCATGCGCGCGCACACACACACACACACACACACACACACACACACACACACACACACACACGCACACACACACACACACACGCACACACACACACACACACATACACACACAGACTATTTTCATTCAGACATAGACACAGAACAGCTATATTTTTTTTTACACTAAAAGCTTATGAAGGATAGGCTTGCAGGAACAGAAAATGCGTTAAATGTCTTTTGAAGCTATCATGTGTTCTTGTTTGTCTTAGTTCCATGGGTAATCTGTTCCACATAAATGGACCAAGATATGAGAAAGATCTCTCACCATATGATTTGTATGATTTTACGGGTGTCACAAGTAGGGTGTTATCGTTTGATGATCTTTGGTTTCTCCTTGGCTTATATACAGATACGTTCTTATAGATAAAAAGGAGCAGTTTTATTTACACGTTTGAAACACATGACTCAGATTTTGAATATTATTCTTTCTTTTACAGGGAGCCAATGTAGTTCTTTATTAGTGGAGTGACATGGTCTCGTTTTTTAGATCTTGCTATCAGTCTAGCTGCATTGTTTTGAATGATTTGTAAACAATTCAAATATTTGTTGTTCAGAACTGCTAGGAGTGAGTTACAATAGTCTAATCTAGATAGGATAAGAGATGCTACCAATGTTTTTGTGGTCTCTTCGTTTAAGTACTTTCGAACTAGGCCTATCCTTCTCAACTGAAAATAAAGGGATTTGGACGGAGATCCTACAAACGAACAAATTGATAAGTGGTGGTCAATATATGCACTGAGATTCTTGACAACTTCTTTACTAGATGTCATATGCCCATATAAATCAAGTTGACATTTTCCAGATCTTTATTTAATTGTGGATTATTTATAAGAACGATGTCTGTCTTTTCTTCATTTAGTTTCAATTTGTTTACTGTCATCCACTTTTTAATTTCATAAAAACATTGTTTAGTGATAGAAATCATGTTTGGCAGATCTTGAATGGTGCCATTAACATACATTTGGGAATCATCGGCATAAAAATGATAATTCAATCCATGATTTTGTAAAATGCTTGCTAAGGGCTGTGCATATAGCGTAAAGAGCACTGGTCCAAGAACGGACCCTTGTGGAACTCCATAATCGAGTCTGACCTGCTTTGAAAAGCTATTTTTAATTTGCTCTGATTCAACTCTTTCTCGTAAATATAACTAAACCATGAAAGCACAGTACCTGAAAAGCCAAATGAGCGCTCAAGCCTTGTGAGTAAAATAAAATGGTCAATTGTGTCAAAAGCTGCAGACAGATCTAAAAGAGTTAAAAGACAGATGTTTTTGCTATCAACGGAATCCAATAAATCAGACGTTACTTATTTTGAAAAGCGCCGTTTCGGTACTATGATGAGTTTTATAGGCAGATTGGTAAATTTCCTCAATACCATTTTTTTTCATGTGAGCCAAAACTTGACTTAAAACAATCTTCTCTAGAATTTTTTAGACAAATTGCAAATTCGAAACTGGTTGATAGTTTTTTAATTCATTTTTCAGGCTTTTTCAATAAAGGTTTTACAATAGCTTGTTTGAAAGTATTTGGTACAGTGCCTGTGGCAAGTGACATATTCACTATCTGAGTAATGTGAGGTAGTACAATATCAATACAGGTTTTGAGTACATGAGCAGGCATTGGGTCAAGGTCGCATGTTTTTATGGTTGACCCATTAATACAATTTAAAATATCACTATTTGTAACTGGACTAAAAGAATCTAATATTTGTCCAGTAAATTCTGAAAATTCCAAATTTCCATTTGGCTCTAGGTCGAGAGAAGAGCGTATGGTAT